CTGTCACCAGCGGGAGCTCCTTGTCCACACCACCTAGTCGCTCACTCAGAATGTGGCTGGAGAAGCTGGTGGCTTTGCCTCCAAAGAGCCCGCTCAGGTTGTCATGGGTCCCCAGGATTCGGTCTTCCTTGTGCTTATGCTTGTGTTTGTGTTTTCTCTTGTGGAGCCGACCACCAGATAGTCCAGCATTGCTGACCTTGGGCGGGTTCAGGGAAGGCTGTATGTCATTGAGTCCCATGCTGACGGGTCCCTGCAGGTGCACTCCGTGCTTTGCTTTATGCTTAGCTGCACTGGACATCTTTACGTGGGAGCTCGCATGGAACTGAGGTGGTGGCACTGTTGGCCTCATGAATGGAGACGCTGCTCCGAGCGTGTGTGACAGGTACAGAGGAGCTGGGTACTGACCGTAATAGCCAAGGTTCATCATAGGCATTGATGTGTAAGGCATTCCATAGGGTGCATAGTAACTTCCGCTGGGAATAGGGTAGCTGAACCCTTGTAAAAAAGGCACCTTTGTCATGGTGTCATTGGTTTTTGCAGGCCTACCACGCTTCTTCTTTGACTTCAAGTCTGAAGTCCTGCGAAGATAGAACAACGGGTCATACTGGATATATGGCACCGGGTAGTAGTGATCAAAATTAATCCGAAAAATGCTGGGATATGGATTCTCGTGGTAAAAGGTATAACTCCGGTGGGAGATCCTGAACACCTGGAACTTGGTGATGAGCTCCTCCAGGTCTGCCAGAAACTGGAGGTCATCGCGGTTTTGCAGGCTCTTCCGTTTCCTCTTGTGCTTTGGCTTCTTGAGACTTTCGTGGGCCAGAAAATTGTCCACGATGAGATGCTTTTGCCGGTGGCCATGCCGGTTCTTTGTGCTGGTGTCGGACGGAATGGCCTCTGGGTTGTCCAGGGAGCAGAAGTCAAAAGAGTACCTCCGTCGGGATTCTGAACTCTTCTCCGCCTGGTCAGACGTGCTGTTGTTGTCTGTCCCGATGCCACTGTCACTGGGGATTGTCTCCTCGCTGTGGGATTCGCTCACAGGGGACAGCGTGATTTCCTTGAGTGAGCCAATCTCACAGAGGTGTGACGGGGAGTTGGCCATCAGCCTGGGTGGAGATAGCTTCCAGGTTCCACTGTGAATTCCCTTTTGGGTTTTGGTTGGAAGAGCACTGATGGGCTGGAGATTTGGCATAGTTTTCAACTCTGAAAAGTTGGTTTCAGTGCTGGCGGGGCTCAGGTTGCCATTGGACCCACCTAACTGCGTAGAGAGTGGGTGCATAGCTGCTGGTGAAGATGCCACAAGGGACTGAAAGTTGGAAGGCACGGCTGGGACTTCCGGCTGGCTAGAAACAGGCCTTGGGTGCTTGATGGCTGTTTTGGGTTCTTCAGATGGGGGTGGCAGCTCCGCCCTTGGCTTCCTGCCCCTCTTCTTGCCAATGTAGATGGTTCCTCTCTTGCTGACATTAATCTGCTTGCCCAGTTTGCTTTCAATGGCTGCTGCCCCAGGGCTGGTTTCCGGGGGAGCTTTGGCCTTCAGGGCAATGCTGCTGGAGCAGGACAAGATCTGGTTCAAGATATTCTTTCTTTTGAGCGTCTTCATCTTATTGATAGTCTTGATGGTCTTTTTATCCAACACACCGAGCTTTCCAACTTTTTTGTGAAACTTCATCTCACTTATGGGTTTGTCCTCTCCCGGCACTAGCTGGGCCAACTTGGCTAAGTTGCGCCGTCTCTTTCTTTTCTTGGTGCCAGGAAACTCTCGGCTGATGGGACTGACCGGGCTGGTGGAGGTACCCTCATGAATGGTTTCAACTGTAAGCAAAGGCTGCTTCTTTGGTCGGCCCCGCTTCTTTTTGACTGGAGTGATCACAGTAAGACTGTCTGTGTTGGTGTACAGAGGGCTGGATGGAGTGATGGGGTACGCAGACGGGGGTTCCACCATCAATTTGTCGGAGGTGGACATGACTGCCTCTCGAAGCATATTGCTGGGTTTGGGTTTGCTGCATGTCCACCTCCGTTTGGCAGCAAATTTCGGATGTTGGATTTC